TCTCTCTCTCTCTCTCTCTCTCTCTCTCCATGTCTAATTCTGCCTCTCAAATAAATAAAAATCTTAAAAATAAAAGCCATCAACAAAATGGACTTTTTAAAAACTGTATTTGAATGGCAGACTTACAGAGAAAAGGAGACAAAGATGCTAAGCTCCACCCCTCGCCCAACCTTCCTGTGTTCTGGGAGTGGCTGCCCAGCCCACCCACCTTGGAAGCAGCAGTCCACCACCCTGCTGGAGGGTTGGGGTCTGACCACCAGGAGGCACCTGCACGCCCCCCACCCCGCCCGCGTCTGCCCTCCGCCAGACAGGGACTGGGACTGCCTCAGAGGGAGGCCGGTGCTGCGGCTGCCGGGCAGGGGCGCCTTGGGCCTGCTCGCCCACGGCACCAGCCTGACCCTCACCAGAAAGACCCACACTGAGGGGCCAGGGCCCAGCCTGCGGCCGGGAGCCCCTGGGAGGCCCACCTGGCTACGCCGGTCCTGTCCCAGCCCTGGAGCAGCAGCCTTGACCCAACTCCTGCACCAGCAGGGCCTCGATGCTCCAGCTCCGTCCCTCCCTGGGGCCCGGGGGCGGTATGTCTGCAGTGGGGCCGCAGCTCCTGCCCCCTGCCCCACCCACCCCACTGCTGGCTCAGCAGGCCGTCATCCATGGTCAGTTCAGGGTGTTCTGGGGGCAGCAGCCCCAGCAGGAAGCTGAGCACCAACAGCCCAGGATAAAGGCTGGAGGCCAGCAGTCACCCATCACCACGGCCTCCTCCAGGCTGTCAGTCACCCATCCCATCCCACAGATTCACCCCTGCCCACCAGGGCCCCTGCAGGGGCTGCTGCCTGCCTCGCACCGGGGAGAAGGAAGGGGACTCCCCCTTGGAGCCTGTGGCCGTCCACGTGGAGAGCAGGAGGGCCTGGCAGGTCCCTGAGCGTCTGGGTGTGGGTGAGCCGGGCAGGGCCAGAGCAGTGCAGGGGCCCTGGGAGCCCTGAGCGGGGAGAGGGGAAGGAGGGGCTGGAGACCAGGGCCTACGCACCTGGGCCTCAGGTGGGTGCCCGGGACGGGGGCACAGGTGGGGGTGCCGGGTGAGCTGGGCGTGGAGAGCGGAGGAGGGCACCCCAAGGGGGGATGAGTACCAGGCGGCACCACCTGGGAGACCTGGGCTGTGGTGACAGGGTGGGGGCTGCAGACCAGGGGCACAAACGCCCCCCTGGGGATGCTTACCTGTCAGTCAGGGGCCGGCACCTCTAGGCCACACGGCCCAGGCTCCAGCAGGAAAACACTGCACCCCACATCACAGCACCACACCCACACCACAGCATCCACACCCACACCACGGCATCCACACCCACACCATGGCACCCACACCCACACCACAGCACCCACACCCACACCACAGCATCCACACCCACACCACGGCATCCACACCCACACCACAGCATCCACACCCACACCATGGCACCCACACCACTGCACCCACACCCACATCACAGCACGTGCACCCACACCACTGCACCCACACCACAGCACCCACACCCACACCACAGCATCCACACCACTGCACCCACACCACGGCACCCACACCCACACCACGGCACCTGGTCCAGTGGTTCCTCTGCAGGCACAAACCCAGTCAGTCCACACCACAAGGCGCCTTTCTCTTCCTGACAGCCCCGGGGGGTGTGGGCGGGACCAGATCTATGGGCGGGGCTCACCGACCTCAGCCACTGGCCAGATCCTGGCCTCCTCCCACCCCCACACTGAGTGTTCTCTGGGAGGGGCGGGACACCCTGGGGGGCGTGTCCTCCTTGGATTCCCACAGGGCAGGCCCCTCCCCAGCAGCGCCCCAGCCTGGCTTGGCCTCAGAATAGCCAACCTGGGCTTGGGGGGGGTTGCTTCCGTCCCCACTTTCAGGGCTCCCTCCCCCCCAGGGGCCCCAGACGCCCACCGCCTTCCCCGAATCTTCTGGGGAAGCGCGGATGCTCACACCCTCTGTGTGTGACCGCGTCCTCCGAGGCCTCATCAGGACCAGTCCTGGGCAAGGGCACAGAAGGCGCCCGGTTGTGGCCGGGACAGGAGCGGGGATGCCACGGCCTGCTCCCTCCGTAGCCCAGGCCCAGCTGGGAGGCCTCTGGGCAGTGCCCGCCCCCTGGGGTAGGGACCAGCAGGGGTCCCTGTCCCCAGCCCTCCACACGCCTGGTCCAGGATCAGCCTTTTGCTCTCCTCACTGGTCCAGGAACGCCGGCCCACCACACTGGCGAGGGCCAGGCAGGGGCCACCCCAGACGGAGCGACCAGGAAGTGGTGGCCAGGACAGAGGGCGGGACGGGCCAGGTCCTGTGCCCTCCGCTCTCCGGGCCCTGGGACAGGCTGGGCGGTATCTGCCAGGCTCCTGAGGCGAGGAGGGTCGTGGCTCCTGGCACTTCCCTCAGAGACAATGGGCACCCGTGGGCCTCCTCTGCGGTTTCCGAGGCTGTGGCGGACTCTCGCCAGCTTTGGGTTCCCGCTCCGGCCCCACCCGTCTGCTCCGAGCCCAGCAGGAGGCGGCCCCAAAGGGGACACTGGGAACCCCCCAGCGGCCCGCAGTGGCGCCCGGATTCCTCTCCCCGAGGAGGCCTCGCACCCTTCCAGCACAGAACCCCAGCGCGCACGGCTCCCTACCCCGCCTGGCCGCACCCCGGGGCTTGGACAACTGCTCCCCCACACTCCGGGGCCCCGCGGGCACTCCTAGGTTCGTTGCCGCGGCGATCCACTCGAGGTGGGCAGGAGCCCGCGGAGGCTGGGCCCGCGCCGAGCGCCCCTCACATGCTGTATAGGAACCCTGTGGAATGGGTGAGGGGCGCGCTGTCCGCCCGCTCTGCGTCCCCGCCAGGACTTCCCCGAAGAACGGTTTACCCAAGGCCAGGTTCACCCAAGGCCAGGAGGGGGCATTGGAGGACGTCCTGCGTGCGGCGCCCCCTCCTGACTTGCGCTAAGGACTCCCCGCCTTTCCCGTGGCCCCTCGGGGAAGGGTCGGCCAGGAGGGCCTGGGGCGGGCCAGCCAAGGGGACGCCACGCCTGTCACTCTTGCCGAAGCGCCGGAGGGGGAGCCCGCGCATCCTGGGCGCACCAGGCAAGAAAGGGCCCCGGGGTAGGCCGTGGCAGAGGAAAGCAGGGCCACGTCCGCCCGACCCACTCCGGCCCCGATCGGATAGGGAGCTGCGTACTCGGTCTGCTCTGGCCGCAGCCTGGCGAGGACCAAGGGCGCAGACAGACCTAGAGTGCAGAGGCGCAAGGCGGCGACTCGAGGTCCCTGAGTCCTGGGTGTCCCCGCGGGAAGCGAGAGGCGCCCGGGCACCGAGCGCAGGCAGGGACCCTGCGGTGCTGTCTGTGTGCGGCGCCGCCCCGTTCCCAACAACCCATACCGGCCGGGAGCGCACAGTTCGCGGCTCCCCGCGGCCCTCGGTCCCGCCCGGAGCTTGCAACTCCGGTGACCGCCTCGGCCCGAGACCGCGGGCGTGGTGCCCTCCCGTGGCCGGCCCGCGGAACGCGCAGGAGCAGCGTTTCCCTCAAGGCAGTGGGGCGCCGGTTGGGCCCGAGGCCGGTCTTGGGTCGGGCGGACGGGTGCCAAGCCGCGCAGGCGGATCACGGGCGGGGCAACTGCGCCCAATCGGATCCCTCGAGTGGCAACCAGAGGAAGAAGCCGCAGCAACGAAATCCCGGCGCGCGGAGGTCGCCCCTTCCCGATCCGGGGACGCCACGCGCCTCGCTGGCCGCCGCCTGCACCTGGCGCCCGTGCGTATCCGAGGCAGGGACGAGCCGCGCGCTCGCGCCCGGCCCGCACCCCAGCGCCGTTCCGTGTGCAGACCGGTGGAGAGACTCTTGGTGTCAACCCCGGCCGCCAGGAGTACAAAACGAAAACGGACCCAAGGGGGCTCGGCAGGAGCGGCGGCTGGGCCCCCGGTCAGAGCCGCCCGAGCCGCCTTCTTGCGCCGCACCACGTCCCGGACGGCCGGGCCCACGCAGAAAAGTCGTTGCCGGCGACCTCCGCTCGGGCCCGGGAGCTCGGCCGGCGCACACTGCCCCGGCCCCGGCCGTTCGCGGACGTCGGTTGCGCCCAGCCGGACCACGGCTTCCAGCGCGCAGCGGGGTCAGTGACAGCCCGGTCCGCGTCTTCCCATTGCTTGAAGCCACCCAGGAGCGCCGAGGCTTCATCCACAGGACGGTACCAGGGCCGCGCGCCCGCTCCGCAGGCCGACCTGCGACCGGCGGGAGAACGGCGGAGGGTGAGGCCCGGGCCGGGCACCGGCTACTCCTCGGTGGCCCCGGAAGGGAGACCTGGACCTCGCCCAGCAGAACGCGCCCGCGGAGGAGGCAGTGCCTTCGGCCCTGGGACAGGCCTCGCCTGCTGCCCACGCAGTCTACCCGTCGGCTCCCTGCCGCCGTTCGCGCCCTCCCCTCCACGCGCCCGCACCTGCAGCCCGCACGCCCGTGGCCGCCAGCCCGGGGTGCTCGGCGGGGCGGACTGGGCACGCCGAGCGCGGGTGTGGCCTCAAATCTGCATTCTTCCGGGCGGTAAAATATGTACTCGTATTTTTTCCCGATTCCCCATTAAAACCTTTGCCTAACTAAACTCCCATCGCCGGGATTTATTTCGTCCCGGGGGAGATAAATCAGGGGCGGATTTACGGCCCGGAAGGCGCCCGCCGCGCTAATGGGCCCTTCATGGAGTGCGCGGCCGGCGGGGGCGCGCGGCCGGCGGGGCGCTGGCCAATGGCCGAGCCGCGGGCGCCCGCAGCCAATCAGCGCGCGCGCCGCGCTGGGGCCCCGCGGTTATCAGCGCGCCCGTCCCGCGCGGCGCCGCTCCGACCCGGCCCGGAGCCGCCCGCCCGCCCGCCCACCGCCGCCGCCGCCGCCCCCAGCCCGCGCCGCTCCCAGCCCGCGCCGCCGCCGCCCGCAAGGCCGTCGGGCCGTCCGTCCGCCGGGGCCGTCGGCGCCCGCGCCCCGCGCCCGCCTGGGCCGCGCGCGAACTTCCCGGGCCGGCGGGCGGCGGCGGGGCCCGGATGGGAGCCCGGGCCGGCGGCGGCGGCGCCCATGGACGCTAACCGCCCGGGCGCGTTCGTGCTGGGCAGCGCGCCCCTGGCCGCGCTGCACAACATGGCCGAGATGAAGACTTCGCTGTTCCCGTACGCGCTGCAGGGTCCGGCCGGCTTCAAGGCGCCCGCGCTGGGCGGCCTGGGCGCGCAGCTGCCGCTCGGCACCCCGCACGGCATCAGCGACATCCTGGGCCGGCCCGTGGGCGCGGCGGGCGGCGGGCTCCTGAGCGGCCTGCCCCGCCTGAGCGGGCTCGCATCGTCGGCCAGCGTTTACTTCGGGCCCGCGGCCGCCGTGGCGCGCGGCTACCCCAAGCCGCTGGCCGAGCTGCCCGGGCGGCCGCCCATCTTCTGGCCCGGCGTGGTGCCCGGCTCGCCCTGGAGGGACCCGCGCCTGGCCGGCCCCGGTAAGTGGCCGCGCGGGGCTGCGGGCGGGAGGCGCGCGGGCCGCCGGACGCTCACCGGCCTCCTCCGCAGCCCCGGCCGGCGCGGGCCTGGACAAGGACGGGAAGAAGAAGCACTCGCGGCCCACCTTCTCTGGACAGCAGATCTTCGCCCTGGAGAAGACCTTCGAGCAGACCAAGTACCTGGCGGGCCCAGAGCGCGCGCGGCTCGCCTACTCGCTGGGCATGACCGAGAGCCAGGTGAAGGTGAGCGCAGCCCGGCGGGGTCGGGCGCCGCCGCCCGCATCCTGCGAACCGCCTGAGCGCGCGGCGCTCGGCCGGGGCGGGCAGAGGCCGGGGGCCCCGGAGGCGCAGCCTGACCGGCCGCGGCGCCCCCAGGTCTGGTTCCAGAACCGCCGGACCAAGTGGCGCAAGCGGCACGCGGCCGAGATGGCTTCGGCCAAGAAGCAGCAGGACTCGGACGCCGAGAAGCTGAAGGCGGGCGGCTCGGACGCCGAGGACGACGACGAGTACAACCGGCCCCTGGACCCCAACTCGGACGACGAGAAGATCACGCGGTTGCTCAAGAAGCACAAGGCCTCGAACTTGGCGCTGGTCAGCCCGTGCGGCGGCGGCGCGGCGGACGCGGTGTGAGGGCGCCGCGCGCACGGTCCGGCCCGGCCCGCGCCGGCCCGCTCCTGTTTTCGGAGAGCGCCAGAGCGAAATCTCTTTGTGTGATCAATAAATTATTTAACACGCCCCCGTCGGAGCCGTGGCTCCCGAGGCTGCACCGCGTGTTTCTTCCGAGTCGGGCCCGGGACCCGGCGCCCGCGGGCGGCCCGCCCATACCCTGCCCCGGGTCCAGTCTCCCCCGCGCGCGGGGTCTCCGCAGGTCGGCCGGGCGGCGGCCTCCCCGGCCCCGCGGCCACAGCCCGCAGCAGCGCGGAGACCGGGCGGGACCCCGAACCCGGGGGTCGCGCGGGGCGGCAGCCACGTCGCGGAGAGCGAGAGGCGGAGCCGACAGCGCCGAGACGGAGCAGGGCGTGCCCGGCCCAGGGCAGGCGGTAGCAGGTACGAACCCCGCACCCGCCGCCCGGAACCCTCCCGTGCGGGGTCTGGAAGGGTGGGTGACCCCGCGTCCGCGCTTCCGCCGCGTTTGTGGGTTCCTTGCGGGCAGAACGTGTGACTGCGTGCGGGTCGGGCTCGCAGGAGAGGTGCGCGATGACCCGGCCCCCACGGAGAGACCGCGCTGGGTGCGCAAAGCCTCGGGGTTGCCGGTCCGGACGCCGGGCGCGTCGCTGGCTCCAGGCCCTGCCGAGGCGGGAATCGCGCGCCCGGGCCTTCCGGATCAGAGGCGCGCCCAGGCAGGGGCCGCTTAGCATCTCAAAGGGGCCCCAGGGACGCGGACAAAGGCAGGCCGTCGGGCTGCAGGTTTTCACCACGATCAATTTTATTGCTTAGGAACTGAGCTGTCGCTTCTCCAGGCCTTGGGAACGGACATTTCCCCCCCACCCCCCGGACCGCGCAGACCCGGCCGGCAGCGGCGGACACAGATGCGGCGGACACCGCGCGGCAGGCTGTGGCGGTGGCTGTCCACGCAGACGGGCGTCTGGACGCTGTAGTGTTCTTTAGTGGGATCGGTACAAGGCGCTGTCTCCCCAGGGCCGACTGGGCCCCTGTCCCCCATGGCTCACGGTTTACTGTAGAATACCGGGCACCATGAGACGGTAACGCAAGACACGACGACGTGGCTTACAAGAGTCCACGGGAGCTCCTCGTTCAGTCCTCGGTGTGGCACAGAACAAAGGCAGGGGCGCTGGAGCCCCCGGCCGCGCTGGGGCGGCGCGCCCGGGCTCGGAGCCCGCCTGCCATAGACGCGCGTGCATTCGTACTGCAAATAGATTCAGCGTAAGTTTTGGTAAGGTTTATAAATTATTTTAAAAAGTATATATTTATATATATTTATATATAAAAACCGGAAGCAGCTGCGGTGAGATTCGGACGCCTGGAGCGCGGCGGCAGAGCCGAGCGAGGCCCCTCCTCCGACGGCCGCGCCGGGTGCAGACCGTGGGACCGAAGGCCAGACGCCGCCGTCGGCTAGTTTTGGCAACAGGACCGTGGCCGGCTTGGAAACCCAGTATTTCTACCTAACGTCACAGGGACAGACACGACAGTGAGGTATGTGAGGCTTTTCCGGAACGGTCCGGAGGCTGAAGCGAAGTGTGGGGCCGCCGGCGGGCAGGTGGCGTGGCGGAGTCTGCTACAGCGAGCGCTGGCCCGGGACCCTGGCGCCGCAGAGGCCTCTCCTGCCTGTGGGGGAGGGGCAGCTGGTCACGGGCGCACTCACACCGGGCAAAGCTGCGGAACGAGCGCTAGGAAGGAGCCATATTTACCACGTCACTGCACCACACAACACCTGTGCACACGTGCGCGAGGTTTACCTGCCCCGGGCGCCAAGCGAAAGGCCAGGAACACGGGCTGCAGCGGGGAGGAGAGGGCGGTCAGCGGCCCCGCCCCGGCCCCGCCCACACGCCCACCCCGCGCGCGGCCCCGGGCGGCGCCGGCCTCATCCCCGCGGTGCTGGGCGGTGACGTGCGCGACGGCCCGGGGACAACGGACTCCCAAGCGCGGGACGAGCCCGGGAGAAGCTGAGCCGCGCAAGGTCCTTGGATGCCCCAGCCAGGGGCGGGGCCTGCGCCGCCCACCCCCACCCTGCGACCCAGGCGCTGGAGAATCGCCGTCCCCCCACCCAAGGCTGTGAGCAGGCTTTTGTGCAAAAGTAAAACCATGAGTTCCACTCTGCTGGGACTGTCATTTCAGCCTCCCCGCCCAGCGGCCTGAGTTTGGAATTTCATTGACATCTAGTTAAATTCGCGCCGCCTGCAGCCCCAGCCCCGCCCCCGCCTGGCCCCTGCCCGGCCCCTGCCCCACCGCCCGCCCTGGCTACGTCACCTTGTGGTCTCCCATGCAGACGCTGGGCCCGATGTGGTCGTAGGTGACCACTTTGTCCTCACTCTCCGACTGGGAAAAGCAAGCAGAGAGGGGCTGGTGTCGGGGGCTGGGTCGCAAGGAGCAGGGTGTGGGGGGTCCCAGGGACACAGTCTCCACCGCCCGGTGCAGCTTGCTTCCCTGTGGACCCTGCCGGGCTCAGAGCTGCCCACGAGAAGGGAAGGGTCCCGCTTCCCCCAGGGCCTCCTCCCACCCCTGCTGGGGCTCCGGCCTCAGGGCCCTGCCCTGCCCACGGCTACTGCCACTTTCAGCAACCGGTGGCTCACCCACCCGGTTCAGATCAGGGCCCGGCTCTGCTCCCCTGCTGGGCCACAGGCCCCAGAGGCCTTTATCTTGGGGCTCAGGGGCACAGGGCTTGCTGCGGGGAGCCCCAGGTGCGGAGGGCACCGAGGCTTCTAGTCTGGAGTGCAGGGTGGGGGTGGGGGTCACTGGGCACCCGTCTTCCCATCTGTATTATCTAGAACAGCAGAGGCACCAAGCGTCACAGGGCTCTGGGCAGCCAGGAAGCAGAGGGAGCCCCGAGGTGCCAGGGTGGCGTGACAGACGGCACCATACAGGCGAGCAGCCTGCGGGGGGGTCACCAGAGTCCAGGTGAGGGCAGGGCCCTCCTTCCAGGGCAGCCAGGTGTGTGCTGTGTCTGAATGGAAGGACCACACCCTCGGCCCCAAGGCTGGCTTCCTCGTGGGTGGACGCCATGGGGAGCAAGTGCGGGGTGCGGGTCCTGTGACCTCGGGCACCGGCCAGCCGATGCCTCTGGCCCCTCACAGCTTGCCGTCTGCCCCGTCTCAGCACCGCAGCCTCCACAGAGCTGACCAGCAAGCCCAGGCCGAGCCCAGCCTCATTCAGCAGGGCCGTCACAGCGACAGCTCACGGTGGCCTTTTCCTGGGGCTTCCTGGGGTGGGCCCCCCGCCCAAGCTCACTACAGACCCGTGGACTTCAGCCGCTGGCCTGGCAAGGTCCCCCCAGCCAGGGGGAAGGGCTCGGGCTGCCCCAGGCACTCCAGGGACAGTGCCATGTCGAGACCAGCAGGAGTGCGAGGCAGCCTGTGGGGCTCTGCCCTTGCTGGCTGGAACCCTCTGAGCCCCCTGTGCTCCAAGGCCCTGGGGACAGGTCTACCATGCAGGGCTGTGGTCAGGACCCAGGCTGGTGCCAAGGCAGGGGACATGGACGGGGCGTGCAGGATGGCTCACAGGCTGGGGGCTGGACAGAGGGGCTCCGATCACCCCCCCGGCCTCCTCCTGACCATCAGCCCATGGCACAGTCAGAAACCCCTGGTTCTGGACAGCAAGCACGGAGAGTCCACTTCCTCCTCCGCCATCACTCCCCTGAGGAGGGAGCTGACACAGCTGAGGCAGACGCTGGTCGCTTTGAATCCGGTCCTTTGTTAAAATGCAGATCTGAAAATCCCGTGAAGTGAACCGCGGCGACATCGGCTCCTGTAACTCCAGGCCCACACAGGAGCTCCGACCACTCCGGTGTGGGTGTCAGCAGAGGGGTTAGGGTGCCCCATCGCCCTGCAGAGGGTGGGGGCTCGAGGCCCAGCTCCCTACTGGCGCGGACCCTGGAGGGCAGCAGGCAATAGCTCCAGTGCTTGGCTCCCTGCTGCCCACAAGGCTTCAGCCCAGCCCAGGTGACTGTGGGCACTCGGGGAGTAACCAGCAGGCAGGAGCGGTCTCTCAGCTACAAATTAAGACGATGACAGACCTGTCCAGTGTGCCTATGACCTCCGCTCTCCTTTAAAATCCTTACAAGATTTGTTCATTTATTTGAAAGACACAGTGACAGAGAAGGGGGAGGGAGAGGAGTCTCCCATCTGCTGGTTCACACCACAATGGCTCAGGCTGGGCCAGGCCAAAGCCAGGAGCCTGGAACTCCATCCCAGTCTCCCTTGTGGATGGCAGGGGCCCAAGCACTTGGCCCATCTCTGCTGCTTCCCAGTCACGAGCAGGAAGCTGGATCCCAAGCAGAGCAGCCAGGACTTGAACGGGCACTCCAGCGCGGGAGGCTGGCCTTGCAAGCAGCGGCTTAACCCACTGCACCACACCGCCAGCCCTGCACCCTCAGTGCAGACGAGACCGCATCTCACTGACAGCCACCGGCCTGTGTCTGGAGCTGAGACCCTGGTGTCTGCCAGAGGTGACTCGGCAGATGCTGGTGTGTCTGTGGCATCAGAGGTGACTCAGCACCTGAGTTCAGCTCCTCTCAGGACGAGATCAGGGATGCGGCTCAGGCCAGCCACCGGCCCACGCTCCGCCTTCCTCCCCGGCGCGTCCCCGCGGCTGTCACTCACCCTCAGCACCAGCTCCCTGGCAGAGGGGGACATGAGGATTCGGTCACACCACGCGGGGCACCGGGTGTTCATGTACTGCTCGCCCTGGGCACAGTCCTCGCTATACGGGTAGCTGGGGACAGGGAGGCAGAAGGTCAGGGGTGCCCGGTGCCAGCCACGCCCATGTCCCAGAGGGAAGGCCACCCAGGGAGAGAACATGGCAGTTTCCAGAAGAGAAAGCAAGCGTTCCTGCCCCGCCGGGTTCCCGCACAGCGTCCTGTTGCCTCTGCCTGGTGTGGGCCGGTTTTTGCGTGAGCATGGTCTGAAGCACAGTGGGCATCCACATGGGGCGGCGGCCTCAGCCTTCACCCAGCTCACCTCCCTGTGGGGTCTGGGACAGCAGGCACCCGCCACCCACTGAGGCCCGGACTCAGGAACAGCCCAGCTGCCCATGCCATGGGCTGGGGCCCCGACGGCCCTCAGACCTGCCCGCTCCCTCTGCAGCAGTGGCCTAGCCAGAGGCGAGGGGGCCGCTGTCCACTGCTGCTGCACCACAACGCAGTCTGGATCGGGGGGCTACAGCCTCAGGCCCCTCACCCACTGTCCTGTTTAAACTGCAACCCCTCCCCCCAGGGGCATTCCAACTGGGCCCACACTGAGGAGGCAGCAAAGCAATCCCCATGACAGGACCTGACTCTGGGGAGACGCTAAGGGCGCCCGCCCGGTGCAGCGTCTCAGCCACGCCTCCTCGTGGAGGTCAGCAGCGGGCACTTTGGGAGGCTTCCGGCTGCTCCGCGTGAGGGGCGTGGCTCTGGTTTTCCAGGCACCTGTCAGGTGTGCACTCCCTGCAGCCCCAGGCCCTGGCCCTCCAGGGCACCCACGTCCGAGTGCCCGCTTGACCCTGAGCCTCTGTCCTGAGTCCCCACTGTCCTGGGTCTCTCTCCTGCCCTCAGGGAGGCCTCTGGGACCCCCGTAAGGACACAGCCAGGGCCAGAGCTCAAGGTGACTGACATGCGTCTGTGACGACAGGTTCACTCCCACGCGTGCCAAAGAGCTTGAGCCCATTGACGTCCCCTCCAGTGCTGGCAGAAGCTGGGAGTGGGTGGGAGGCCCTCCACCCACAGCTCTTGAAGGACTGGCTCAGAGAGGAGCCAGGCAGCAGTAGCTCCTGCGCTGCCTCCTTCGCAGGCTGTACCCAGTCTCCTGGGGATTCACCAGGGCCAAGAACCTGGTGCCAAGGGAGTGCTGGCCAGAGTGGATGGCAGGGCCGCAGCTAGTGGGCGCCCCCGGGTCCCGGACACGGATGGCCATCCTGCTCCCGCCTGCGCCCGCGGGCACGAGGTGCTGCCGGACACCGCCTGGGTGCTGGTGATTAATGCGGGAGACTTATCTGGCGCAGGCCGGGCAGGTGGGGGAGGATGGTCATCTTTAACGGAAGTGGTGATAAAGGAACAATCGCCCACCTGTGCTTGCCCCGGCTCCCTGCAGGATGTGGGCAGCGGTCCCTTTGGCCTTGCTGCAGGCCGCCTGTTTACCATGGCCAGGCCAACCGGCCCTGCCCGGAGGCCCAAGGGACGCTGGAGGCACAAAGCCCCAGTGTGTGGGTCTGGGAAAGCCCCGGAAGAGATAGGGTGGGGGCCCCATCTCCGCCTAGCTCCTGGCCCTCCTCGGCCACAGCAGCACCGCCCATGTTCATGGCAGGGGCAGGGCCTTCCCGGCCCCGGCTTCTCAGGGGGCATGAGGCCTGTAGCCGCTGCCAACAGCTGTGAGGGCAACACAGCTGCTTCCAAGGGGCAGTGGGGGCAGGGCTCTGACATGGTCCCTCCCCACCACACTCATGGAGGAAACCGAGCAGCCCCTCGAACAAGAAGCTAAAACCAGAAACCCCCGAACGGCAGCAGCCCTGTGCGGAGCGTGGGGGCAGGCGGTCCCAGTGCCAGCCCCATGCACCTGCAGGGGCGGGGCAGAAGTCTCTCCCCTCCCCAGGGTATGGCTCGCTCAGCGCAGGGCTCCGCCTGCCTTCTCCCCACCTTCTGCAGTTTGCTCAGCTGAGCCCCTCTGTTGCGGCGTCCCCGAGCGTGGACGGTGGGCTCGCCACCTCCGATACCCCTCCCTGCCGTGGCGGGGCCAGCCTGGGCTCCGTCGCCTTCCCAGGTGATTCAACGCTTGGGGCCTCGTGGGAAGGTGGCATTTTCAGGAACTCGGGGCAAAAACTGCCCTGGAAACACACAGAGACGCCCTTTGCCCTTTGCCCTGTGTTCTGACGGAACTAGGGCAGTGTCCCGGGGTCCCTGCTGCAGCCCTGGAGCCTGAGGCAGGACTCTGCCCAGGGGAGGGGCAGTGAGGAAGCCCTGAGGGCCAAGGGGTGGGGAGCGGGGCGGGGAGCTGTGGACGGGACAGAGGTGGTACTCCTGGGACAGGAGGAGTGGGCCTGGGGCAGGATTTGGGGTCCATGACCAAACTCAGGCTCAAGACTTCGGGGAATGCGCTGACGGTACCAGAGCGCCCAGATACAGGGGCTCCACCTGGTCACCTGAGGCCAGCGGTGCAGCCATGCTCACGCCCCGCCCTCCACCCCGGTTCCAGGAAGTCCCGGGGTGGGGGTGGGGGGAACATGGTGAGCTCTTCTTGCAAACTGAAATTGCTACTTTTTCCTAAAAATTGTACTTTTATGGAACATATAAGGGGCTTACTACTATTTCAGATGGAATAGTAAGTATTTAAGGGTGCACAGCTTGGCAAGTGAGAGCTCCCAGGGAACGCGGCCACTCTGACGGCTTCTCTCGCAGGAGACCCCAGGGCGCTCAGCACAGCGAGCTCAGAGGCAAGCCGCCAAGTTCAGGAATAAGCAGCAAACACACGACAAGCCACGCCCGTGCTGACCAGCCGTGTGGCCGCGGGACAGAGGCCCGGCTGTCACAGGCCATGGGCAATGAGCAGAGGATGGGCAGCCAGGAGCCTCCATGGAAGGCAGAGGGCCCAGCAGGGCAAGACCCACCCCAACAGGCCGAGTCCCAGGCCTTCCAGAAAGTTCTGGGAGGAAGCGGTGTCCTGACAGATGCCCCGAGTCCGTGTCCGGGGTGCAAAGGGCTAGGGCCTCCTCCACGCGCACCTCGGAGAGCTCAAGGTCATTCCCGAGTGAAACCAAAGTGGGTGCGACTCGGGTCAGCGCACAGGCCCCAGGCTGGCGCCCAGGTCAGAGTGCCCTCTTGACCCTCAGCCTCTGTCCTGAGTCCCCACAGGAAGGGCCTGGCCACAGCCCACAGAGTCCATCCAGGCCACAGAGCCGCCAAGAAGACAATGGCTGGCAAAGGTGCCCACTCGCTGGAGGGGGCCTCACAGTCTGACGAGGGGTGCAGGCGCCAGCCATGCAGTGGCCAGAGGGTGGGCACTGTGGGCTCCCCACCTGAGACAGCCTTTGTCAGCAGGGAGTCCAGGCAAGGCCAGGTCAGCCGACTCCTCTGCTCAGGGTCTCCAAGACACCCCACCTGGGCCATGGGTGGTCTGCACCTGGGCCACCCAGGAAGCCAGCAGATTAGGTCTCAGGGACTGTAGGGCTGAGGCCTGGCCTCCTCCCTGGGGGTCAGCCAAGGTCACTCTCGGCTTGCGGTCATGTGTGCCCTCAGAGCCAGCAACGGCCAGGGGTCCCGGGCCTGCTTTGAGTCCACCTCCCTCCACCACAGTGCTGCCTCCAGCCAGCGAGGGCTCAGGTTACCGGGCCCAGCTGCCTGGGTGGCCGAGGCACACTCGCTTTCCAGGGTTCTTTGCTGAGTCCACCTGCAACCCCCTCGGCTGCCCAGAACACGTCCAGTTCTGGGATGTGGGCGTGGCGTCTCTGAGCCCCACCCTCCTGCCACACCCATCAATCAACCCCAGCAGCAGCCACTCTGTGCCACTCAGGCCCCGGCTCCGCCAGCCCAGCCATGAGGCCAGGCCCACGTCACGGCTGCCTCCCTCCCCAGGCGGCAGACATGACCGACCTTGCAGGTCGGAGAAACTCCAAGACTCCAAAGAAAGACGACAGCAGAACTGCTTGTTAGAGACAGGCAACCGTGAGGCTGGGTGGCCACGCACGGCTCACGCCCGTGGACAGACCGGGGAGGGCGGCGGCACATTACCTGGCTCCTTCGGCAGGCACAGCGCCGCTTACCTGGGAGGGAACGAGATATCCAGTTCACACAGCCTGTCCTTAAAGACAGACAACTCTTTGTCAAATTCCAAGAGCTGAAGACAAGAAAAAGAAGAAAACACAGTCACCTCTGTGTGACGTCCCGGCAACACGCATGGCTCAGGCACTTGCCGTGACACGTGCCTTGCCTACAGCTGCTCGGTCACCAGTGAGACACGGGCGTCCACCCAGCTCTCAGGTCCAGCTGCCCCGCGCTGCAGTGGAGACACAGGCAGGGGCCCCGCCAGGCTCGGCAGCCGCCCTGAGGGGCTCACTCAGCAAGAGGGGAGGCCATGAGTGGACCAGGAATCCCAGCCCCGGCGTGCACACAGTCTGGCAGACCTCAGGCATGACATGTTCACTTCTGTGTGCAGAGGGGACACGGATGGCCCAGGGCGCCTCCGAGCAGCCACCACACGCACCCTCAGGGACCCAGCCGCAGTCCTGTTCCTTCCTGCCCCCTCACCCCACAGGGCCTCCCCGACTCCACAGAGCCCAGCCACACTCCCGCCAACAGCTGAGCACTTTGGGGGAGGGGTCAGCACTATGGCCTCCCCCAGAGTGGTCACCTCTGTGGTGCCAGCAAGGTGTGACACCATCAGCCACGTCTGCCTGTACAAACCTCACAATCCCACAGAGCACGGGCAGAGGGGGAGGCACGAAGCACAGGAGACCCCTCGGGGTGCAGCCGAGGCCTGGGCTCCCAGGGTCCTGCGTGTGCCTGTGTGAATCCACTTCCTGCTGGGGGAGGAGCAGACAGCGAACCCTGCCCTGCTCTGCTGCCACCACGCTGGGCGCCACCCGGGCCCACACTCCTGTGCCGAGCGGTGGCTCTTACTCCGCCTGAGGAGGGGTCACCCCCAGCCGGCAGCTTCTGCAGTTATCTGGAGTCAGCTCCTCTAAGGAGCAGGGAGGGAGCAGAGTCGCCTGTGTTCGTGGGTCAGCACGACAAGCGTGCTCACGTGTCTGCTCGTGAGTGCACGCACACGCCTGCCCATGTGCAATACACGTAGACAGACAGGCACCGCAATGAGAACATTCCAGACAGAACAGCCCCCTCTAACGCCAAGGCGGGCCCACTGGTTTCTCGGGTACTAAGCCGAGGCAGGGCAGGCTGTGGGCTCCGTGGGCTCTGTGGGCTCCGTGTGCAGGGCAGAGGGCAGGTGCAGGCCCGTGTCCTCCTTCAGCCTGCTCTGGTCACGGTGTGCTGCTTCCATCTCTCACCTTCCGTGGTTTCAACAGTTTAAAATATTCCTATCACACATTTTCCGCTCGACGTCCTTGGGTGCTGGGCAGGCGTCCACGAGCCCTGGGCACCTGGGCCATGCAGCCATGGCCATGGCTCTCAGTCTGCCCAGTCTGCAGCCTCACGGCCGTGCCACACACCAAGTGGCCGCCCGCTGCCCGCCAGGGCACGCCTCCAGTGCCCTCCACACAACCAGGATTTCACCTCCCAAGTCAGATTTTCTTCCTTACTCCTTCACTTTGACCCTCGTACGTTACCCGAGCCTCACGTCCAGAAGGTGGACCCCAGTGGCAGCCTGGCTGCAGCCAGACTACACGGTTTCTGCTGTCTGCAGGCCTGGCCCTCCAGGCGGATGGCTCATGCCACCGGGTGAGCCAGGAAGTGGCCGCAGGAGAGCTGGGCTCGGGCCTCGGAGGAAGCCGTGGGCTGCACATGTGGCCACTGTGTACCAGAGACAGCACATGGACCACGGGGGCCACTCCCGGGAATGCCAGGCAAGCCCTGCTGTGAGCAGTTTGACCTGGTGCCTGGGGACCCCCGACGTTAACCTCCTAATGGAGTCATCCCATGAGGTACCAGGGCACACCTGCCATGCCTCTGCAGAGGCTCAGCTGTCACACTGTGGGCAGTGGGCAGCGCTGGCCTTCCCAAAGTTGGGAGGAGTGGGCACACGGGGCCTCCTGAAGTGAGGGCCTGGGTTCATTGCTGGGCTCACTGCTTTCCGTGGGACCAGGAAGGACCCCGGGCCATGGACGGGGCACTGCACGGATGTCCACAGCCCTCTCACTCCGGTCCCAGCACACTGACCCATGGTGCCGGCCCAGCTGCAGAGCAGCTGAGGTGTGTGCAGGCCAGGTCCAGGCTGTGCCCACAGCAGCTCTAGTGGGCTCGGCCTGTGCCACCTCCTGCCCCCACTGCCCAAAGGCAACCTGGTGGTCACAACAGGTGTCACAAGGCTGGCATGCACTGTTTCCCAAGGGGCCGTCCAGCCTTCCACAGTTCCTCGGGCAGGGGCCTGGGAACACAGTGCTGGGCAGTGGCAGCAGCCAGCTGTGTCTCGAGGCTGCGGCCACCTGGAAGTGACCGTCTCCTGTGTGACGGCCCTGCCTCCACCCCACGCTGCGGGTTTGAGTGAGCGAAGTAAAAGGGATTTGAATCCGAATCTTCAAGCTGCCGAGATGGGGGTGGGGGAGGTGTCCCCATGTGCTCACCCCAGAGCCCTCCATTCTGAAGGGAAATGGCACGGCCCACACATGGTCCAGTGTCACAGACATGCTAAGACGAGGACATGCTTGCACACTCAGTGTCATGCAGCACACGCTCAGCTCATGCTCAGCACACGCTCACTCCGGCACAACAGTGAACAAACCGCCAGACTCCACCTCTGCCTTCCTGGGATGGCAACACCAATGTAGCAGCCGGGCAGGCAAACTTGGCAGGCACTGTGCCGAGCTGCTGCTGCACTGGCAGCCTGCGGCGAGTGGCCCAGAGACCCAGACAGACCTCCCAGCTTCCGGGAAGCGGTGCGGGTCAGGTGCCAGAGGAGACGATGCCTGGAGTTTCTGTTGAATTGGTCATTTGTATCTCTTCGAGATGCTTCAGGAACATGATAACCAATTTCCCAGGCATCTGAAACATTCTTGCTGATTACAAAGTGAGGACCAGCGCCGGGGCCGACAGTGATGAAGCGGCAGCCGAGCGTCCGTCAGGGCCGCCGGCTCCACGGGCTCCTCTGTGACCGTGCAGACACGGCTGATAGGGAAAGCGGCGTGCGCGAGATCGATGCAACTGCGGCGGGCGGCGCCCGCACACGCCGACGTCTCTGTCCAACAGGCCTCGCGCGGGCGAAGGCCCGGGCCCTGCCCCACGACCGCCGGGGGAAATTTAATCTCTGCAAATCCTCACCAGGGCGCTCGGTCCTGCCGCCCTGACAGCCGCACTTACAATTAATTATACAATGGCGATGGGGATATCGACTAAACAAAGCCATAAATCATAGCAAAAGTCAATGTGCACGGACACACTCAATCATGTCCTGGCCAATGATTACTACTCTTAAAATACAATAATTATTTTCAGGAGCCAGCTCGAATTAAATTTCTGTCAGCCGGGTACAAGAGCGGCGGTTGATGAAGGGTGCCACGGATCCTGGGCGAGGCCGGCACAGGCACATCCATCCTGCGGCGGGCAGCCTGCCTCTGCGGAGGTGAGACACCTCGGACACGCACCAGGCTGAGCGCCTGGCCCCTCGGCGCGTGGGGAACAGGGCAGGTGCCAGGGGCACCCATGAGACGAGCCGCCTCGATGAGGCACTGCCGCGTCGGACATGACGGACGGGACCCGGGAGCTGCAGCCGGCGCCCACCCGTGCTCGGTGCTGCCTCAGCAAAGCCACTTCCACGGCACGCAGGCTCGGCCTCTGTGTCCCTGCAGCCTCCAGCGCAGGGCAGCTGCTGGCCTCAACACTGCAGGGTTCTCCTGAATATTCAGATTTTCTCCTATTTAGAAAGCCAGCCAGCACAGAGGGGAGGCGTGAGGGGAGGGAGGGCTTCTCACGCTCAGCACAGCAGTGCGTCCTCCGCTGGGTCCGCTCCTGCCTGGGCTCAGGCCCGCCTTGCTCCTCCAGAACACTCCGCTCAGCCTCGCTGGCATCTTCCTCCCAGGGGCTCTCCTCTGAGGGCCCTCTGCTTTCTTCCTGCCCTACTCGAGGTCCCTGGAGACCCCACTCCCCTGGCTCAGCTGGGATTCCTGGGCACTCACCCTCCACACAGGTGCACCTGCCCCTCCCTGCTGTCCTCTTCACTCGGCCAAAGTGACCAGGCTGCCACCCTGCTTGCACAGGAGGCAAGCAGGGCAGGACCCAGCCACAGAGCTGTCCTCTGGCAGGACTTGGCTGAGCAGACAGCTCTCTGCGACAGGTACTGGAGGGCAGGGTATCAGGCACAGGCTGGTGGAGCCTGTGCACGCACAGTGTGCGAGCTCCCACAGAGCAGGAAAACAGGCCTAACGGACACATAGCAGGGCGTGGCGCTGAGGCCTGGCCGGCCTCCGTGGGGTCCAGGAAGGGGAGGGGAGGCAGACCCAGGCCTGACACCACAGGGAGAGGGGTGGGGAGCCACAGAAAACCCTGTTCTCAGTGATGAGGTGACAAGTGGTGACAGGCAACTCGCAAGAACAGAGGAAGGACATGGCAGAGGGAGGGTTGGGGCCAGCAGATGAAGTAACAGACAGGGCCTTGGTGGGGGCTATGAACATTCGAGGGACACAAGGTGGACAGTGGAGCAGTCCCGGGTGTGGACTCAGGCGGGCCCAGCTCTCTCCTAGACACCTGCACATCCTGATCCCTGAGCCCTCCCAGCTGGGAGGGGAAATGAACACCTCCCCACAAAGCACTGAGGTACCAGCCTCGGGGACGCAGGACGCAGTGTGGGCACATGGACAGGGCCCAGGGCGCACGGTGTGGGCACATGGACAGGGTCCAGGGCGCACGGTGTGGGCACATGGACAGGGTCCAGGGCGCACGGTGTGGGCGCATGGACAGGGTCCAGGGCACACGGTGTGGGCACATGGACAGGGTCCAGGGTGCACGGTGTGGGTGCACGGACAGGGTCCAGGGCGCACGGTGTGGGCGCATGTACAGGGTCCAGGGCGCACAGTGTGGGCGCACGGACAGGGTCCAGGATGCACAGTGAACTCACGACAAAGCCCAGGCTTCCCACCTGGTGCCTGGGCTCTCCCCGCCCTATCACCTCCCTTCAGCTGTCACTAGGGGAAGCCTCCAAGGGCAGGACCCACCCCTGCTACACATGGCAGCCCCTGGGTGGTTCGCTGCTTTCTCAGGGCAGCTTCAAGGACCCAGAACCCACTGTCTGATTTCCAGGAATCTTGGGAGCTGGTTGTTAAGTGAGGCTTCGCAGCCAAGAGCTGGCAAATGCATTGCCAGCATCAGTCACCAGAACTCCGACTTGCGCGCGACACGTACCTAATGCATGCTTGCAAAGACACTGCATGTGGGGGAGAATAAAATATTGGGCCAACAGAAAACGGAGCAGGGGCGAGAGTCCTGGCTGCTCGACTTCCGATTCAGCTCAATGCACTAGTCTAACCCAGCTCAGCCCTGGCTGCCACAGGTGTGGGGATGAATCAGCAGACGGAGGGCTGACCCGCTCGCTCTGGTGCTCTGCCTTTCTAGCAGATGAGAAGGAACGTTTTAAAATAGATAAATGAAAGTGGATTCTTTAAGCCAGGGACGCCTCTGGCAGAGACCACGGCTTTTACTGAGTGACTTGAGCCACACACACTTCAACTGACCTATGTAGTCATGCACACACAGTTGCACGAACACAATGTTCCTGTGCAGCTGCGTGTGCACAGCACTCAAGTACACAACCCCACATACACGTGCACACACATGCACACTCACACGTCCTCACATGCATGAACACATGCACACATGTACACGAGAACACACCGCACACAGCCAGGCCAGCAGCAGAGGCGCTGCAGGTGTGCACGTGTGGCTTCTCCCCACCAAACCCAACCCCGAGCTGTGAGCCCAGCCGGAGGTCTGCTCCACCAGCCCAGCCTCGTCAGCCGGCCCTGGACGCTGAGCCCTGGCGGCCCGGCGGACTCACCGCAGTGCCGTTGTTGTCCCGGAAGACTTCCTGGTTGACGTAGTCGAAGAGCTTCTTCTCTAACTGCAGCATCACCTGCAACGTCACAGCAGCCTCAGGGGGGTGTGGCCAGCAGGCCCAGCCCCCACCTCCGTCCTGCTGTCCAGTCAGGTGTGGCCAGGCGGTCAGCCCTGCGTCACTCACCTTCCGGTCATTGTCCGACTCCCGAAATATCAGCTTCACGACTTCGTTGGTGTCGGCGGCCCGGACGGTCTGCATGGTGGCTTTTGTGCAGAGCGTCTGTGGAGAGACAAGGCCCAGCCTCAGGAGCGGCCAAGGCCGAGCCCGCGGCTTTCCCAGCGGCCCTGGCTGCATGGACGCCTGACCCCCGACAGCAGCACAGTCTTGCTTCACAGCCCCCCACAGCCCTCCCCCCGGCTGCTGCCCACAGAACCCACGGCTCCACCCCCACCGCCACCCCCAGAGCTGCAAAGTGCTGTGCAGACCCCGACTGCAAGCACCGAGGAGGTGCTGGACACTGCGGCCACCACGCTGGGCCCCTGCCTGTCCTCTGAGGCTGGTGCAGCGTCCACTGCCCTAAGCCTGTCTCGGGCAGGCGCAGAGTGAGAAGGGAAGCCAGCAAGCACCCATACCCGTGGGTCAGGTGCAGTGGGCTGGGCTTTAGTGAGGACCACAGCACGGACACCAAGCCCAGGGTCCCAGAGGCAGGTGGGCGGGGCCTGAGAAGAGCAATGACTGCTCAGGCTCCCGTCCGAGAAGCCACGAGCATGGGGGCAGCAGACATGGGGCCACCTTGAAGCTGGTGCCCAGCCAGCCCAGGCAGCTGAGGGTGAGCCACTGAGGGGGCAGCAGAGGACAGAGAGGGCCGGGGAGCAGCCAGGCCATACCAAGGGATGCACCCAGCCCACGAGTGATTAGTGATTAAATTCAGAGTTGTTTAAGAAATTCTTGTCTCAACCTGGGTACCAGGCAGGGAAGGGTCAGTGGGGTCACTTCCCAAAGACAGGGAGCAGCCGGAAACTCCTCAGGCACCCCAGGGACCCATCAGACAAAGGGAGTGTGGGGGAGGGGCAGCACTGGGACCAGGGCCTCTGAGCCACCCGAGGGCACCTGTGGCAGAGGGCTTGAGCCTGTGACCTGTTGTCTGCCCAAGGCTCAGACAGCGCAGACACGGGGCAGATCTGGTGCTGGACACCTGGGCATGGGGGCTGACGCCGGCCGTCTGTAACTCAGGGTTTATGTGAATGACATCTTAACAAACCTGGATTTTTAAGAAGAGTGATTTTTATTTAAAAAAAAAGCATTACAACAAGATTGACTCTGCGCCTGAGCAGTCTCTTCTGGGCACCTGCCTGGTCTGCTGGACGCAGCCCCACCCCCACGCGGGCATTGACATTCAGAGCACGGCCAGAGCGGTCGCGGGTCGCACCCTCCACAGTGGCTTTTGGACTCAGTGTCACAAGTGAGTCTGGACGCCTTAGAACAGCCCGGGGATTACGACAGGCACCCAAACACCGCGGAGCGCCCAGCCCAGCCTGCGTCCCAAGGAGGTCCTGGCCCCATCCAGATGCAAATGCGCTTAAGGGGCTTAAGCTGCGTCTGTGAATGGGAGGAGGCGGGGCCGGGAGAGGGCACTGTCGCCACCCCAGGACTCCGTCTCCCAAAGGCATCAGCTGGGAACTTAAAAACCCTGCTTTATGTGGAGGCTCCCACAGGACGCCCGGGCCCCCCACAGCCTCCAGGGAGCCGCCTCATTCAGCTTTAAAGAAGTGACCAGGCCACCATTCTGTGCCTTTCAGGCCCGCCAAGTCGTGACCACTCATGCAGAAACCACCAGGGCCGGCCCTTCCGGCTCAGCTGCAGCAGAAGGGACCTTTCTCTTTTGAAAGAAAAAAATGCCCCAAATGCCATTTTTAAAAAGCCATCAACGATTTACTTCAGTATCGGGGCTCACGGAGGAAGCCCACAAAGGGTGGCCCTGGCACCTGCCTCACGGGCACTCGGCAACAGGACCACCGCGTGCTGTGAGTGACAGGGCTGCTCCCCGCCAGGCTGCAGAGGCGCCCCTGCCCCGGTGCACAGGAGCAGCGGCCAGGCTCCCGCCAGGCCCCGGATCTGCCCCTTGGCCTCCACCCGACCAATTCCGAATCCACCAAGGGCAAACTGTGTCTGGTGTCACCCGCCAGGCCTTGCAACCTCCAGACTGCCCTGTGCGTGCAGGCGCCTCTGAGCCACCTGCTCTCACACCTGCGGGAGAGGCTGCCCCCCGCCCCATGCAGAGCGGGTGGAGGCTCCCCGTCCAGTCTGATCTGGAGACAGGGGTGGGTTTCACAGCTCACCCTGGGCTGCACTCAGCAGAAAGCACCAGGTTTGGAAGTTCTAAGGGATGCTTTGGTCTGCGGTGGCTCAGAGGCACAGCGAGCAAAAACACATAAAATAGCTCCTGCAAATCTGTATCTGCAATAGAAACCAGACATGGCGGCTTGGACAGTGAGGCCACAGCCAGCCAACGGCTTGCTCCGAGGGACCTCCTGCTGCTGCCCCTCGAGGCCGTCCTGTCCAGCCTGCAGCTCTAGCCACGAGGCTGCCTCACTGCCCACTCAGCCTGCCCGCCACGCACAGCGGATGCGCCAAACCCAGTTGACCGGGCGTGGGCATGTTCCCTCGGGCTGAGGCAGCACAGACCTACCTGTTGGCGCCCACAGGCCAGCCTGGCGCGTGTCCCTGCACAGGCCTGCCCCAGCCCACCTGAGGTTCCCAGGACAGCTCCAGAGAGGCACAGATGGGCGGTGCTCACAGGCAGTGGGATCCATGGCGGTGAGGACGGTGGCGCCCACTGCAGCCATTCACAACACCGAGAAAGCAGAAGAGCGCGGTGCCCGCAGCGCTTGTGGGTCCGCCCCGCTGGGACTGAGGCTACGCTGGCGGGGGGTCCTGAGGACGCTGCCCCCGATTCTCCACGCCCATCCCTCTAAATGTGACCCTGCACCCGAGCTTTGATCCCCTGACAACGCCACGCAGGAGAACACGCGGACCCTCTGGTAGCGTGAAATCAGGGACAAAGGGGGCCGGCTTGCGGACCATCCGAAAGGAACAATTGAGAAGGGGCCGAGGGAAGCCGCGTGCCTGTTGGTGATAAATCTCGGCACTGCCAGGTTCCTCCTGGGTTCTGGACTCAGGGGTGAGCCCATCCAGCCGTCTGCTTGCCCACGCGCGTGTGCTGTGCGCCTCACGGGACTGCACCACAAAGAGCCTGGGCCCTGGCTTCTGCTATCTCACCGAACAGCACGGCGAAGGGTGGCAAAGTTGCATGCTGGGAGCCCTGGCATGCAGCACCGTGACAGCCGTGCGCTCAACCAGGCTGCACCCGGGTGTGGACCAGGCCAACAGCGGCAAACTTAGGAAACCTCAGGCTGCACTGGCCGATTCCTGGGAGGCACCGCTCCACCTAGACCACGTGGGCGGCTGCTCTCCCGGGCGCAGGGCACGGCCTGACGACAGAGCACATGCACCCGGGATGGCTCCTCTGAGCTCTGCGCACCCACACTGGACACAGCCGCTGGGGGCTGCTGAGACAGGGTCTGTTGTCAGCTCCAACCAGGAACTCGGGGCGGCACTGGCTGCAGGGCTGTCGACTGCCGTGGGAGCTGTCCCTTCCTGAGGGGCCGCCTGCTTCTGGGTGTCAGGGGCCTCTGCAGTGTTTATCCAGCAGGGACACGACTGAGGCCTGCAGCTCATGTTTTGCAGGTCCTAACAGAGCTGGCCCTGTCTGGCCACAGGTGACCTAGCCAGCCCTCCTCTCACTGCTGACCCCAGGCATTTGTCCTCCTTCCTCTCCTAACTGAACTCTTGGGGTTCCCTCTCTCCTCTACCCGCCAGAGTCACCATGGTGTCAGAGAAGCCGGCCCTGGCTGTGAAAGCCGAGCCGGGCGCCCGGTGGAGGGATCCTCACTGGGAAGCCGACCGGGGCGCCGGGTGGAGGGATCCTCACTGGGAAGCCGAGCCAGGCGCCCCGTGGAGGGACCCCCACTGGGAAGCCGACCGGGGCGCCCAGGGGAGGGATCCTCACTGGGAAGCCGACCGGGGCGCCCGGGGGAGGGATCCTCACTGGGAAGCCGACCGGGGCGCCCGGGGGAGGGAGGGACCCTCACTGGGAAGCCGACCGGGGCGGCGGGCGCCTAGCGCAGCCCTGTCTGCGGCTCACCCCGGCAATTCGGGCTGAATCCTGGCAGCGCTGCAAGGGCTACGTGGAGCCTCCTCCGTTGCCCCGTGACTCAGCCCGAGACAGAGATGCGCTCTGCAGGCCTGGGTCCCTCACTTAGGCTCAGGGAACACAGCTACCCGTGACGTTCGCGCACGCGGACACCAGCAGTGCCCCTGGGGAGCCCACTGTCCTGTCAGGGCGTGGCTGCTGCCGAGGCCTCACGAGCACCTCAGCCTGCGCTCGGCGCCCCCATGGCAGTGCCTGCGGGTTCTGGGCACGGGGCCTCGGCTGTGCACCGCCACCTCGGGACACCGGGACCTGGGAGCACAGGGCGGCGGCAGTAGTCCCCAGCGCCAGACTGCCTGCCAACAGCACCTCGGGTCCTGTGTGTCCCCGCAGAGAGAAGCAGGGTAGACGTCGGCCCCCGGCCTCCACCCCGCACTCAGCTCTGGTGACGAGGATCCGAGGAGCGTGCTCAGGAACGGAATCTCCACAGCTGCCAACCACAGACGCCGGGGCTCACCTACCGATGCACACCCCGCCACCGCGCCACCGGCTCCAGGGCCCCTGCCCCAGACACCAGAACCTGGGGCCACTGGGACGCTCACAGGTCAGAGGGCAGGTGGCGTGGCACATGACACACACAATCCTGAGCTAACTCCGGGCAATGCGTCAGTGCTTTTCCCGTGACACACGGCTGTGCACAGCACACACACACGGACAAGGGCAGTGTCAGAAGTGCGCTGCCCCTCAAGGGACAAGTGGGCAGGGCGGGGGGAGGCGCAGAGACAGGAAGGGATGCCCTGTGCACATGGCTGGGGGAGGGGCACAGAGCCAGGATCAGTCTGCCCCGTCTCACACGCTGGCAGCTGGGCTCACACACGCACGGTGGCCCCGAGCCACAGGGAGCACATGTGACACAGCCTTGCGCCCACTGACGCGGCAGCAGCGTGACGACCCAAGCCGCTGCTCTGCTGCTCCTCGGTGCACCAGGCCCCGGCCAAGCCTCTGCTGCACATCGGGAGCGGAACGGGGTGGCCGGGGCCCAGGGGGCGGTGGTGCCACGCTGGGCTGGGCCTGTCTGCCCTGAGTGTCCGCTGCTAATGGCTCTCAGGAAGCTGTGTTCCTCCCCAGGCAGCTCTCAACAGGGAGGTGTGTGCATGGTCCCACCATCTGCCCTGGACACAAACTGCCCATGGTGCCAGACAAACCCTGGGACCCTGACAGCATCCCGAGTCACGCAGGGTGACCACGGCTGGCCCATCCGAGGCCCAGACACAGGAGATGGAGGTGTCAGACAAGGGAACGCTTGGGGCCAGTGCGGCTGTCACAGCTGTGCCATGGCCTTGCCTGGGTCAGTGTCTGTGGTCTGGGAGACTCGTGCACACAGAGGCCAGCCAGCACTTCTCCCAGAGGGCTGGGGCCTCCCGTGGGGCATGACCTTTGGGGTATGCCCTGTGGCCCTTCCCATGGCCAGCAGAGCCAGCGCCGGGACCCCTCTTAGTGCCCGTGTGAAAGGGGTGCCCCTCGTGCAGTCTGCCTGTCTGCGGCCGTGGCAGCTGGGGCGTCCCTCCCAGGACCCACCCCCGACAGGCCCAGCGGCCCCCAGGCAGGTACCTTACAGGGATCAGCAGCTGGCATGCAGCCACAGCCGCCAGCCTCCAGAATCACATCCATCACCCGGCTGTCAGCGAGGTGACGGCCAGCAGGTGTGGTGCGGCCGGGCCGTGCGGAGACGGGAGTGCCTGGCACCACTGTCACTCTGCGTCACCGTGGCCAGCTGAGCACCCAGCTGCCGGCTGCACCGAGCGAGGCACAGGACACGCCTCCCAGCAGCGGCAGCAGAGCTGAGCTGAAGGCAGCAGCGTCAGCGCGTCAGGCGGCACATGGCACTGTGTTTAATCGGCGAATGTTTTAATTACGCTTAAGCAGCTCCACGCGGATGCCGCTCTGGTCAGTTCTGCTCCGCGAGCACGCCTACATTCGGGCGCATCTGCAGCATGGGGGCGCAGGGGCCCTCTGCCCCAGCTCCTCTCCTCTGAACACAGGAGGCACCAAGGGCTCTGAGGCTGCCCCCCACCCCCAACCCAGCAGGATGAACAATCGTGACGTGTATCCGCCACGGCCTGGCTCCACCTCACTGGGCTCTCCGCATTTTGGAGACAGATTTACTTCACCTCTGCCAGGTCCTGCAGCCAGCCCAACAGTGTGGGCCAGCGAGGTGCTGTGAGGCTCTCCGGTGTGCTCGCTGAAAGCCAGGGGGACCCCTCGGCCGCCAGGAGGGAGGGGCTGACCTGACAATGACCCAGAGCGAGAGCGAGGCGGAGCCTGGCTGGGGGGAGCTCACGGGCACCCTCGAGAGGTGGTCACCACCCCTGAGCACACTGGCCGGCCCGCCCGCCCTCTAGCAGCTGGTTCTGCCGTCTGACCTCCCCCGCACCGGGGCACAGACGTCCCAGATTTAGGGCCCAGGAGTCCGTCTGCAGATGCCAGTTCGGGCACCCAGGGGTGGCCCCTGAAGAGGGGGCGTGCCCCAGCTGATTTTCTTGCACATAGAGCAGTGTGAGTGCTTGGCACCAGCCGAGGCAGCCGTCGGCCACGGCCAGCGGGGCAGCATCATGTGCCGTCCCTACTGGGACCAGGTCCCTGTGCCCTCGGTGGAGCTGTCCACATGGGGCACAGAGAAACGCTGGGTGGCACAGCCTGGGCAGGCTGCTCAGAGGCAGCGGCTCAGGTGTGGGCAGTTTCCACGCACCCTGGAATTCCCACTGACAGCTGCCGGCAGTAATGACACCGCCGGGGAAGGCAGAGCCACCCGGGGGCCTGCAGACTGAGGCCCACACTAAGCAGCAGTTGCCACGTCACCACCAGGTCAGCTTTGCCCACACAGTGAACCATGCAGCAGGTAACTGGAGGTTTTTATTAACAGTTAATTACCTGTGGGCTTTAAAGAACCAAACGGCCAAGAAAACCTCCCAAAAGTTAACGCGTGGTTCTTACACACGCCTTCCACTCACTGAGCACACAGTCCAGTTAAACGCTATCCACTGCCCTCCTGCTGATCTGCAAGTGCCAGCGGACAACAGGCTCCTCGTATGCGTGAGGAGCCACAGACCTGAACCCAACACCTGTGCGACAGCCACCACCAGCAGGCAGCATCCCGGGGTCAGCAGGTGGCCAGGCACCTAGATGACTGCCAGAGGTGGCGGCAGCGGCCTTCCTTGGTGGCACGTACGACCATGAAGGCACGCCGTCTCCTGGGGACCCTGCAGACAGAACCCCGGGATGCCGTGGGAGTGACAGCTGCCATGCTTCCTCCTGCCGCTGTCAGGTGAACTCTCTGCTCCGCCTGTGAGGGAGGGGCCGCGAGCACCGCTGAGCAGGGCGGGTGCCACCTGCGTGGGCCTCCTGTCCCGTGATGTGCGACCTGCGAACAGGTGCCCCGAAGAGAAACCTTTTCCTCCGGGGACGACTACACGGCTGGGGCAGACGCCAGCTACATTCAGGGGAGCTGGCTCTGCCCTGGGCCCCTCCTCTCGCCTGGGGAAACCCACGGCGTTGGCCACGTGGAGGGACTGCTGTGGCTGGAGACCGAGCCGCTAGGCGGGGCCCGTGCACGGTTCTGAGCGGGTGAGGGCGTGCGGCTGGCAGGCGGCTGGCCCGGCGGAATGCTCTCTCCAGTGTCAGGTCTCTGCGTCCGCATTGGTGACAGTCACCCGGACCCGCCTCGTCCTCGCGGCAGGCAGTGGGACGCTCAGATGCAGCGAGGGGCGGGCGTCTCGGGTGCTTGCGGCTCACATCACAGAGCCTGGGCCCAGCTTCCTGCTGACCCGCACCCTGGGAGGCAGCAGGCGATGGCTGCCCACGGGGGAGGCCTGGGTGGAGCTCCCGGCTGTCACACACGTTGGGCAGTGAACCAGGAGATGGGATGGAACAGGACGTTCTCCCTTCTGGCCTCTTCCGTCCAAATAACATAAATGAATATTTTAAAAAATGAAATCAAATTCAAAATCTGGCTCCTTGGGTGTTGCGTGTCCTGGCACCTGTGGGGCATGCACTGTCCCACACAGGCCAGGCCCACAAGAGGACACAGCGGCCAACGCTGGGCTGGCTCGGCCCGAGGCAGCGTCCACCTTTCCCTTCCACTGGCCTGGGGGACGGGCCCAGGACACCGCCGGGCTTCTGCCCTGGAGAAACCGAGGTCTTGAGAGCAGCAGGAAGCAGCAGCACTCAGGGCTGCGCTCCCCTCAGTGTCCACTCCCCCTTGGCCCTGTCCAGGGCACAGCGTCCGCGTGGAGCAGAGCTGCAGCGACTGTGTGGCAGGAGCCGCTGTCCCCAGGGAGCAGAGGGCACGGGGCAGGGGCCGAGTCCCTGAGAAGCGACAGCTGCAGCTCTTCTCCAGGAGCCCACCCAGGCCCACTCAAACAGCCTGGCACTCTCCAGATGGGCGCCCACTGCCCCTCCCCAGGGACCCCAGGACGCCTGGCGTCACCCAGGTCAGCAGCTGCCGGACACCAAGAGCAAAGGCAGGGTCCCTCCTGGCAACACCGCCACCTCGTCAGGGCTTTGCGGCAATTTCCAGACACTTTGATCTGCCAGGGGGAGGGCGGGGGTCTCCCAGGGCTCCAGGCAGAGCGGGCAGAGTCATGCGTACCCCTGCTCAGATTCAGCAACAAGACTGCACACCAGAGGAAATCCATTCTCTGAATGGGGCGGGCGCCCTGCCCGTGTGCCCTGGGCAGCAGCAGGCAGGGACAGGCCAGCTCTGGGCTCCTCACCTCCGGCGCAGAGGCCTGTGGGCCCCTTCCCACGCAAGGGTCCCGGCCTCCAGACCCTCAGACCTCAGTGGTGCTCCCTCGTCCCGACCAGCAGGCACCTGTGCGGCCACAGGTCCAGGCACACGCGTGTGGCGGGGCCTCGCCTGGTGCAGGGCACATTACTCACTCCCGCCAAAGCCCACTCAGCCATGTGTAGAGGCGACTCCTGGGGAGGGCGGAAGGTTGACGTGATGACACGGCCACACTGCTGCCCTTCCACAGCCTGGCGTGGGCATGGCTGCTGCATGTGGTCCCGCCCGTGGCCTTTCTGTTCCTCCCCCGCACTGGGGATCTGAGGCATCCACAGCCAACGTGAGACCCAGGAGGGGGCAGCAGGAGCAGTGGACACCCCGAGCCCAGGTCACGATGCCAGCGCCCCTGCTGTGGGCCTCAGCCCGGGACAGGGGGCAGCCCTCTTGCGTGGTCCGGGACTCGCTTTCACCCCTGAAGACCCCTGGCGTCACACAGCTTCTGTCCCCAGTGCCCACTCCACGAGTCTGGCCCTCCAGGCCCCAGGAACCAACACAGTATCAAGAGTCCCAAAGAGCACCAGACGTCGACAGTCTGTCAGATGGAAGGGAGCTTGCAGACGGCAGGCCCTCTGCGCAGTGCAGAGCCCGTCAGCAGCTGCCCACACCCGCTCTGTGGGGCGCAGGCGGCCCTGCAGGGCCCGCTCCAGCCCGTGACACCGGGGCACTCGGAAATTGTGGGGAAACAAAACTAAGAAGTTTCATTTTGCTGCAGAAAATTCTTGAACTTCACAGTTTTCCCTCATGCGGACTTTCCATGACTTCCCTCCTCTGACCCCACACACACCTCATCCTCACTGTGCTCATCGTTAGGAGACTGTGCCTCCACAAGCGTAGCCCGTGAGGCCGACAACACCCTGGCCGCCGGTGAGTGTGGACGAGGGACCGCGGCCAGGCCCCGAGCAGGCACCCGGCACCTACCTCCACCACGGACCTGGAATCCAGCCGGAAGTTGAAATCGCCAAAGACAAAGTAGGAGACTTTCTCGAATCGCTGGTCGATGATTCTGGCAGGAAGGGAGGAGACAGAGGTCACTGGGGGTGCACGTGGAGGTCACGAACCCCATCACCGGTCCCCAAACCCTGCATCCACGCTCCCTGCTGCAGGAAACCACACGGCCACAGCACACTTCAGCAGCCACACGGGAGGTGGAGGCGCGGGGCCAAGCCTCACCCCAGGCCAGGACAGTGCTGGAACCAAACTCAGAAGCCAACAGCTGCCTTGGTATGGGACAAAGGCAAGGAAAGAAGCGCTTGGACAGGGAAAGAAACTTCCAGAGAAGCAGGATGGAAGCTGAGGGGGTCTGTCTGGAGCACAGAGCCCCCAGGCAGGGCCACGCCTGCAGACGTGCCTCCAACATATGTATTCACCAGACCCAACTGGACATCTCCACGCGACTCGGTGACACGGCCGCATATGCCCATGCATGTGCACATACAAACACACGCAGGCAAACATACCTGTGTTTTCTGGCTAGCGACCGCCTGGCTTAAAGAACCTTTCCAGGGGCCAGCTGTGGCATAGCCGATAAAGCTGCTGCCTGGGACACCAGCCTCCCATATTCGGGTCCCAGCTGCTCCACCTCCAATCCAGCTCCCTGCTAGTGCCTTGGAAAGCAGAAAATGGCCCAAATGCTTAGGCCCCTGCACTCACGTGGGAGACCCAGAGGGAGCTCCTGGCTTCAGCCTGGTCCAGCACTGGCCAATATGGCCACTTAGGGAGTGAATCAGCAGATGGAAGATCTCTGTCTATCCCTCTTTCTCTGTAACTCTTTCAAATAAATGAGTAAATAATAATAAAAAAAAGAACCTTGGGGCCAGCACCGTGGCATAGCGGGTGAAGCCACCACCTGCAGCACCAGCATCCCATATGGGCGCAGGTTTGTATCCTGGCTGTTCCTCTTCTGATGTAGCTCCCTGCTGTGGCCTGGGAAAGCAGTGGAGGATGGCCCAAGTCCTCGGGCCTCTGCACCCACATGGAAGACCAGGAAAAAGCTCCTGGCTCCTGGCTTTGGATTGGCCCAGCTCTGGCCATCGTGGTCATTGGGAGTGAACCAGCAGTTGGAGAACTCTCTGCCTTTCAAACAAATAATGAATCTTAAAATGGACCTTTCCAAATACTCATATTAATCTATTTCACAGAGATTTTTTACACTGAAAAAGATGCACACTGGCAAGGCCCGGCAGTGGCTTCCCTGAGACAGAGGGTCTGGAAGGAGAGCCAGACCTGGGCCTGGCTCCCACCACCGGGAGACACGGCCACACGGCAGCTGCTTCTGACTGCAAGGCAAATGAGCACGTGAAACAGAGCGCGTGTGGGGCAGAACACGCAATCTGCACACACGGCAAAGGACACTTGGTGCCCACGCTCCTGACTCCGCCACTGGACAGTGACAGAGCTCTGGTGCGGCCGCAGGGGCAGGGGCCACACGCGCTTCCTCCAGCTCCCTTCCCGTTGAGGAGTTGGGAGCGAAAGCCGTCTCAACGGTGTCAGGCACGAATCAGGAACCACTTCCTAATCAGGTCACCGCAAAACCCTCCCATGGCCATCAGGGAGTCCCCCTGTGACCAGCTGGGTGCGGGGTATGGGGGTGCCACCCCAGGGCCTGCCCAGCTGTGCAACTGGACCCATTCTCTTGAAGATGAAAGGAAACCACAGGTGGCGCTACAGCTCCCGTCTGGCTGTCAGAACCAGGCAGTTGTAAGCCCCAGCATGGCCCCGTGAAGGGTCGCTGTCCACTGTGCACCTCTGGGGGCTTCCAAGACAGGGTGGGGGGAGCAGCCACGCCCCTTCACGCCCGAAGGATTCAGCTGTGTTTCATCTAGGCACTGGCTCCGCCCTGCGTGCAGCCCTGGGTTACAGGGGCTCCACTCACGGACGCTGTGTCTTCTTTCACAGGCTCACGGCCTGTGCTCTGGACCCCAGGCCTGTCCCTGTCCATGCACACTGGGGTCGCGGCAGCTCTGTCAGGGGAGGTGCTGGCTTGTACACGTCAGTTCCCTCGCTAACGCAGACGCTCCTTGGGGCTCCCTCTTGGAAGCTTTAATTTCTTAGGGATTTATTTATTCATTCGAAAGGCATGGTTACAGAGACTGAGAAGGACAGAGGTATTCCATTCGCTGGTTCCCTCCCCAAGGTGCTGCAATGGCCAGGGCTGGGCCAGGTCAAAGCCAGGAGCCAGGATCTTCTTCTGGGTCTCACACATGGGTGCAGGAGCCCAGAGACTTGGGCCATCTTCCGCTGCTTTCCCAGGTGCAAAAATTAGCTGGGAGCTGGATTGGAAGTGGAGCTCCCAGGACTTGAACTGGCGCCCATATGGGATGCCAGCCACAGGCCTTGACCCTAATCCCCTGGGCCACAGCACCGGCCCCTTGTGCAAGCTTTTATGGTTGGGCTTCAATTCCCCTGGGGTTAACACACGGAAATGGGGTCACACCACCAAAGTGCCTGAGCCACAGCAGGAGGCTCCCCATAGCACAGGTCTTCTGAGTTATCTGCTGCTTTCTGTAACCTTTTTATCTTTCCCTATAGGATTCCAATTAATACCTAAAAAGTTATCTGAGAGACAGAGATCTCCCATCTGCTGGTTCACTCCCCAAATACCAAGCTGCAGCCAGGAGCCAGGAGCTCCATCCAGGCCTCAGATGGGCGGGGTCCGAGCACCTGAGCCTCGTCACTGCCCCCCAGGATGTGTCTGAGCGGAGAGCTGCGCCGTTGCTGACCCCCACTCACTGCCCCACCCAGGGAACGTCGCCGCAGCCCCACACGCTCCTCTTGCACATGGGGCTGTAACGCCTCGCCAAGCTCCACATGCTGTCCCATTTTCCTCTTCGCTTGGATTTGCTTTCAATTCAAACACTAATTTGAAAAGACACACTTTAGATATTGCTAGTAATGAATAAATGTTGGTCATCTTATTCCTCTGCCCTAACGGGAAATCTTCCTGTGGAGGGCCCGCCACTCAGGGAGGCAGGCACGGGCAGGGGGCAGGGATCTGCAGGGACACAGGGGCCTGGGGGGAGCCCAGGTCCTAGAACCCCCCTCACCCCTGTGGAGCTGCCTGCTCCACCGACTCCACACGCCCCATCTGGGCTCAGTCTGTGTGTGTCCTGTCTGCTTTCCACATCTCATTCTCGCTGCCGGGCGCCCCCAGATGCCCGCCCACTCGTGGCCGGCCATCCTGCCCTTCCCTGCTCAGGGCCAAGCAGCCCTGGGGTCAAGGCTGGCACAGCAAGGCAGCTGCGGAGGCCTGAGCCTGAAGGCACAGCTGTTGCCCGGCACCCTCCTCCGAGGGGCTCCAGCCGGGTGCTGGGCAGACACCCGGATGGGCAAGGCTGCAGGGAGGACCCTGTGCCCCGGGCACGTCCCCTCTCAGACACCCCCGGGTCTGACCCTACCAAGGTGCAGACTATGATCCCCAAGGGCTTCCTGCAACCCTGGCAGGTCCAGCAGGGAGGCAGGATCGCCGGGGGGAGCCCCTGGCCCAGGGGATGCCTCACTCTTTTCTCTCCCTGTGGTTTTTCAAAGGAAACCCACGGCCTGGCTCTGCCGACGGGAGGATACCCAGAGGGAGGGACAGTTCACGCCTGCCCATCACAGGCACCAGCGCACGCCCCTGACCCCCACGCCAGAGCAACGGCTCCCCTGACATGGGGGCCTGGAGGTTCACTCAGACCCTGACCACATAACTGCAGAAACCTGAACACGTGTCCATGTCTGCATGGCAACGTCTCCCCGGGGAACCGCTCCTGTTCACACCAGGAGATGCCCAGAGACGGAGACATGGGGTCTGGAGAGTTCCTTCCCTCCTCGCACAGCCCCTGGGCTGGGAAAAGCTTGTCATAGGGCGGCCAGGAGGCTACACTGCAGCCGCTGTGGCAGGGCAGCGATGCCCACAGGCCGGGGAGAGCGAGGAAAGACGCTCACGCACGAGGACCCTGCCCGGATGGCACGGTGCCGCTGCTCTCCCGTGTGGGCCAACGGCTGAGCACCTGTGAGTGGCGGCTCCAGCCAGCAGAACCCTCCGCAGGCAGGGAGAGACGCCTGCACACGACACCCCAAGGATTATGGGAAGCAGATGATCACGTGGCTGGCTAAACGGTGGAGCCCACTCTGAAGTAAAAACACTCTACATCTTCAGGTTTAACACAGCTGAGCGAGCCCTGGACAGCCCCGCGCTCAGCGAGACGCCCTCCCAGGCCCCATGGCATCAGGCGCTGCCCGCTCCGGCACGACTGGAATCCTCCGTGATGTTTATCGTGCCCCCGTGCCCTGCTCCGTCTGATACGCAGCAGGAGCCAATTAATAACCAGCACCGTTGGAGGGGTCGCACAGCAGAGCAGCAAGATGAAGGGGCTGTCAGCGGCAAGGCAATCGCCTGAGTGCCCAGGCCCGGGGCCCTCGCGGCACCCACTTTTAATCTCAATATAGTGCCATTTGGGCCAGAAAAAAAGAAGCGTTGTTTTAAAATTAATTACCTTGTCAGGAGCTATTATGATTAAAAAGTAGGCCCACATCAATATCATGTGCCTAATTCAAAAGCAGAATTACAAGAAGAGCCATAAAAATCAATTTTTTAGGCTCTGGAAATGGTGTCTTTCTGCCTGGACGGGGGTTCCATTAGCGGCGCAGCCTCAATGGGGGCCTCGCTCACGCCCAGGCCACAGCCGGCTGCTGACGTCCAGGAGGGGGCCGACGGCGAGGCAGCCTGCGGTGCTGCCCAGGGCCCGCGCGCCCCATGGGGCCTCTGAGCCCGAGCAGGTGCAGAGGGCCCACCTCCAAGCTGGCTGACAAGCAAGGACACCGGCTCTCTCGGTCCCGTTTTCTCACACTGAACCGAGGCTGGATCTTCAGCAGGACGCTCAGGCTGCAGACAGGGAGGACCCCACAAAAGCCAGCTGCTTCCTCCACGTGCAGGCCACGCTCCCCGGCCAGCTGCCTGTGGCAAACACACGCACGACGTAGACACCAAAACCACGCGGAGCCTCTCAGAGTCACGTAATCGCT